GAATACAATATCGCTGGGCGATCCCTGAAGGTGTCATCTTTAAAATTAATGATAAAAGAGAGAAGATTGACTCCATCTTTAAAGCAAAGGAATTTTTGAGATGACAGCTGGGGCCAGAAGCAGAACTCAAAGATGAAGAAACAAAATCGAGTGACTCTGCTACCTCTGGAACGGGGGAGGACTCTGGGGAGGAAGCGGGTGCGGGAGCAAGCAAAACGGTGTATGATTTCAGAGAAAGAAGACAGAAATAAGGGCAGAAGGACTCTGAAAATAGCCCTATGAAAATAAGAAGATGCTCAAGAAGTGTTCTCAAAATATTAAAATTATTAACATTGAAGCAGTAGTTAAAAATAACTCACAAGTATACTGTTATACTAACACGTATTGACTAACATGTAGATTAATACGGAAATGATCTCCTCCTCTTGGGTTTTTAGTTAGTGTGGGTATCTTTTCTTTATTCCTAGTTGTAGTCCCCCTTCCTATATTTTCTGTTGTAGTTATGTAGTCAATTAAAAAACCAATAAAATTACCCTCTTGGGGGTTTCAAAAATAAATAAAATGTGATAAGGGAGACAGTATGATCAATCTTTCAGGATTAACTTTTATGGTAAGACTTTCAGGCTTGACATTGTTAATTACAAAGGAAACACACACACATTCAGTTAGTCTTCTATGGACTGATCATTTAAGTTAAAGCTCTGTATAATGTGTTAATTTTGCTCTTGGTTAAAGCTGTTTTGCTTAAAGGTAGCCCTAATTGAAATGAGTGTGTTTTGGCCATACTTTCAAAGCTGGTCGACCTATCTTAGTGCTGTTTTAAGGGGTTTTGTTTTGCTCTGCCTTATGTGTGACCTGTGAGTTTTAAAACAAAAGTTTATTACAAATGCTGCATCTCTTAATGATTCTATGAAGTTTATCTGGTAGAGAAGATTACATTTTGGTGTAAAAGACAGGTCCTCTGAAGTAACACCCTAATTCTGGAAGAAATTATATTTAGGCTGCTAAGGAAGATATTCTTCCAGTTTCTTTAAAATACTGTATCCATAGTACCATGGTTGTAGCCAGGTGTAGACTGGCCATTATCACCATGGGAGAATTTCCCAGTGGGATGGTGGCCTGCCCCCCACTTGGGTTAGTAACTATTTTAGACATTTCAAGCCATTCCCACAAAATTAGGAAATAGTTTTGAAGTAATTGCCCAAAATATTGTGCAGGGGGGGGGGAGACTGTGAGTTAAGGCCATAAGTGATATATGATCCCCTTTGGACTATCAGTATGGTGCATAAAAATAAATCCCAATATATCATGATTTCTATCACTCACTGGTTGATACCTCTTGGTATCACTATTGAAGGGTATTGTTCAGATTTTAAGTTATGAGTGCTCTTCACTGAGAGAAACTTGGTAACCAATGTTCCCTCTAAGCTGTGGAGTCTTCTGAGCAAAAATTCTACTTTGTGAGCGACTGGCATGAAAGTTGTGAGCGAGTGATTTGGCTACTGCATAAATTAGTTTGCTCTGGAGCCATCCTTCCTGAGCTAAGACAAAAATGTGTGAGCCAGAGGCTGAAAAACTGTGAGCTAGCTCACGCTAACTCAGCTTAAAGGGAACACTGTTAACCCCTGTATACTTCCAAGGACTATGTACTTTGAGTATTGAGGATAGAATTTAGAAGTCAGCCAAACATTTTGTCCTTCTCACATTTTGTCTCTAAATCTGAATGACTGCCAGTTTGCACAGATTGTATGTCAGTTTAAATACAACGAACAGGCATCAGTCTGCTTGAAATCATTCCACCAAAGACTTCTAAAAACTTTAGGTAGTAGGCAAACAGTAATGGTTGTTTCGCATTAAGTTGCTTTGTAGAATTATGAAACAGCTTTTCTTGTGCTTTCAAATAAAATGTTGTCATTCACTAATGAATGGGATACCATCTGTAATAAGTAAGGTTACTTTACTTGTTTTTTCCTTGCAGCAAAACTTCTGAAGGTTTGGAGAAGATAGAAAACTACCAAGGAGTACGTTAGCAGTATAGTAAGTACTGCACGAAAAGAATTAAGAATAATATAAAAGGATTGTGTATATTTTATGAAAAACTAGTTATATAAAAGAAATACAGGGAATGGGAAGAGCAAGATATATGGTAACTGCTTAGTTACATTACACAGATCGCTTCATTTTTGTGAAATGTAAAGTGTATCCTTTGCCATGTAATCAGGAATTTACCAATATCACTGAAAAATATTTCTTCATCTAACAAAGATTGATCTACCTTATGTACATTTGTTTATTTAAAACTATCAGAATTTAGAAAATCGCTATAGTTTTGTAGGGTTGTCATTTGTTTTAGTGACTTATTGTTAGGTTATTTTGTAGAATTATTTATTTGCTGATTTATTTATGTATTTCATTATTTATTTATTTGATTATTTAGTAAATTATTTATCTGATGAATTATTAATACATCTTCATGACAAGCTTTAAATTATTTATAACTTAATTTTGATTTTATTGCTTTTCGACGCTGCATTGTTACTGACTAGTTTTCCCCCCCCTGTCTCCTTACTTGGTTCCTGAAAATTAAAGTATTAGCTTTGAGGCAAGTTTATATTCATTGCAAGACTCTTTAGGTTGGTTCCCCTGCAGATGAAGTACATTTTGTGTAAGTACACATTTTACAAGGCTGTGTGTGACTTGTGGCTGTGTACTTACCTGCTCACATTTTCCTGGTGCTGTTCATACCTATGTAATAATAAATGCTGAAGTCTTCCCATAGGTATCATTTTTTTACAGATGGCTTTTACACTGTCATTCAGAAACTGAAGTCAGTAGTTTTCGAAGCTTCAGAATAATGTCAAGAATCTATAGCTGCCTCTAAAAGATTAGTTGAAATTGTTCTGCACAATACAAAATACAAGGGGGCTACACTTTGCGAATCCTGTACTGTGAGATGTTCTGTGTCTTTTTGTGTACCAGCCTTCAAAAAGCTGACGTCAGCATTGCTCTAAATATTAACCCTACCTCTCATGTGCTCTGCTTCCTGCAGTATACTGACAACGTAGCAATCTTCTGATTTTCATGCACAACGTTGCATCTGGGTGCGGTGGGTAAGACATAGAAGCCTTGTGCTTACGTTATGGATCCAGGTGGTGAATACGTAGTACTGCTGGCAGTGGGCTGTGTGGATATGGAGCCCTTTCCATCCATATGCTCCTCATTGGGCAATTGTAGAGTAATGGCAGTGTATTAGACTGCCCACTCACAGGTGGGTCCTCATTCACAGATTGCAGAAGTGTGTTTCAGGTACATGTACAGTTTTACTGAGGGACTGCGTTGATGTATATAAAGCATGTATAAAGAGTGGAGTGGAAGAAAGGAACATAACCCTACAGTGGGATGTGAACTTGGACACAGTGAATGAAAAATGAAGGAAAAACCTTAGTTAACAGCACAACATTTAGAATGTTGAGGTGATTTGCCATGGGAATAAAAGGAGAAGAAAAAGCCATATTTAATAACAACCCATGGACTGCATGGATTAAACATGGTGCTGGAGAAGTGGGGGGTATCCCCCATCCCTGTTCTTCCGTTTAAACCAGTATACCCTCCCCCTCTTATTTGCCTCATGGGGAAAGGTTACAGTTAACTACCACTGCAGATCTGATTTGTGTTCCCTACCCTGTAGCTGCTGTTAACAGTGAAAAAGGAGATAGGATCATAAATTTTCTTCTGTCCTGTCTAGTTTGACCCTAAGGTGTTCTGATTTGACTGCCTGTTGAAGAAGAAAAATGGGGGGTGGAGCCAGTAAGGAAGAAAATGTAGTTTTATTTTAAGCCAATGTTACATGTGTTTGAGTTAAAACCAAAACAAACCAACATCTTACTATGAACCATAATGGTGAGTGGAATAGGTTTGCATACATGAATGTATATGTTTGTGTGTTTATATTACTTGCGTAGCTTCAGCAGTTATAAATGTTTTACAATTAACTTTTAATTTACTTTTTTGATTTAGTATGTCTGCTGATTTTCCAATTCGGGTTTTCTTTGTAGGGCAAAGTGGCATAATCTCTATGCAATGAGCAGTATAACGATGAAGGCAAAGCAAATTTTCCTGTAAATGTGCCGTGTGCACAGCATGGCCTTTATTCTGTGTTTAGTGCTTGAAATGAATTACTATATACTTTAAAGTTTTACCACGACATAGGAAAGGATGCAGTGTACATTTCAAGTTGGGATGCTGTTGAAATACAGTAGAAATGGCCTCTGTAGATAGATTTCACTATAGAACTTAAATTATGCATGTGTATATCCAAATTCCTTATTTTGAAATATTGAATGTATGAATATTTAATTAGTATCTTGCTTTAGTATCGTTGTATGCTTGCCTTAAAGGAAGCTGTTTCCTTTGATTTATATACATGGATAAAAACTTGTGTACAATATGTATCAATAGCTTTTCTCTCTACTACTTTAGATGAAAAGTTTTAGATAATGATGGCTTTTTAAAGCTTTGCCAAAGTTGTGTACAATATGTGATACCTTTTTGGACACTTTTCTTGTATTTCACATTATTTTGCCTTTTAGTACTGATCTTTACAACATCTCCTTATACATATTTGAGTTTTTGTGTGCCTCTTGGCTGAATGTTCCGCACGCCTCCACAGCCTTTTGCTCCCTGATGTGTCACTCACCAGGAGCCTCTACCCATTCATGCCTGCGATGTCTGAGTCCCTCCCTTCCCTTTCATCTCGCACCGCGACGGAGGATGATGAGGTTTCTGCTGGGATGGAAGCAAAACTGCACCACTTGAAGCAAAGCCTCACTCCAGCCTTCAATGGGCTGCTTACGGGGGGGGGGGAGCGAAGCGAAGCCAAGCTGGGAGGCCCCTTTCGTCACCCAGGCGCCCTGCCTGTCCCTCACCCACTGCTGGAGTGCAATCTCGCAGCCCCCCCCACATGGAGTAATGCCCGTGCAGACCTCTGACCCCTGCCCCGGCTGCTGCTTCCCTTTCCTTGGCTGCCCACACTCCCACTTTGCAGAGCACCACTTCTGGGGGGGGACACCAGTGGGACGCCACCGAAGCTCCTCTGCAGACAACGTCAATCTCCTCCCAGCCTGTCCCATCCTGGAAAGCGCCACTTCTTTGCTCAGAGTGGCCGGCCTCTGAGCACGCCTGGCAAGCTGATGATAAAAAGACTCCTCAAGCCCGGTCCATTTGCCCACAGCCTCTTTCTAGAGCTTTGTCTCCATTTCCACAATGGGCCTTCTTCCTAGTATATTTATAAAGGTCAGATCCTTTACACCATTTAGAAATGTTATGATTTCTGATCTATAATTCAAGTCCAGCTTCTCTATCCAGATTTATTTCATTTTAACCTTTTTATTTGAAGTTGGAGATACCATTGATACTAAATGCTGCCAGTGTATTGTCACTAGCTGTAATACAGTGAAACATTTCCTGAACTACAGCAGTATAAAGAAGCATATGCACTGGCCCTGAGAACAGCTACTTTATAATTGTGGCAAGTGAAAGGTCACATTAAACCAAGGTCGCATTAAACAAAAAGATTCTGTTCCATTCCCATACATTTGCCATTTGAATTATGGAATAGCTACTTGGACCTTCCATTGTGTATCTCTTTTTGAAAGAAAGTACTGAATTCAGATAATCTGCTTTTCTGGTTAATAGCATTTGAATTTGAGTGCTGGATGTAACATTAGTTTTAAAACATTTATAATATTACTCAAGTAACACTTAATTCCATACTTAATCGGGGCGGGGGAATACACTGCACATCAAAATTTGTTTTCAAAGCAGCACTGCTGCCTCCCATACACTGAAGTAATGTATGACTAATCTCATCCTCAGTTTAAGTAGCATATTGGGGTGCCAAAGAAGGAACTGAGGTTAGGTAGCATATTGGGGTGCCAAAGAAGGAACTCCCCCCCCCCCAGCTGTTTATCTGGAACCAGCATTGCACTTTTTTGGCAGGGCCATTCTTTATCCTAGAAGCTTTATTCTAATATTATTAGTTAAAGATATACTTTCCAGCACTAGTAACTTTCTTAGGTTCTTATTGTGGGGGATTTGTGTGTTACTGGAATAACTATGTTTCATTGTAATGATGTAGCTATCTAAATTATTTGTGCAACACATCTAAGAGCTTCAGAGGCTCCCTCTGTTCCGCTGGGGCAACTGGGGCACAGAAACTCCCAGTAATTGCTAAACAATAAAGCAGATCTTTGGAGAAAATAACTCAAGCCCAGAGCTGGACAATAGTAGTTCTTTTTCATAAGATAATTACATGTGTGTTTTATCTCTTACAGTTTAAATGTAAACTGTAATTTTGCAAACTGCAGTATTTGATAGTTCAGGAACCTGAAAAGGTACTGTTTACCAACTGTAAAAGAGGAACAAACATCTGCATGCTTGTTTAATAAAATCTTTTAGTCTTCCATCCCAATTGGTAGGTCTACGCTCCTTATGAGACATTAGTCTCCTGTCTTTTATTTGTTTCTGAAACTACCAAAACATTGCATTGGGTTTTGTGAAACAGATATCAGTTAGGAAATCAGTATTTTTATGTAGATGCTTGTGTCTATAGGTTCTTAGCATTTTTAAAGGTTGATCATGTGGATCAGCCTAAAATATGAATAGGCTGTAATCTGGGCAAATCAATCTTGTACCCAAACTCCTAAATCATTTTTGCTAACCTTTGAAGGATTTGGGTGACTGAAAATTGCTGCCCAGTTCATCTCTTCAGTGCCCTCTGACTTTTATTGTATTGTTTCTACCATTTTCTCTCTGCTGTTGCTTTTTAAAAAAACTTGCCCATTTTAAGTGGCTGCTGCATGGACGCTTTCTGTTACCCAGCCCTAGAAATCCAGGTCTGTAGGTGATGGTATTTAATATTTTATTTCAACTGTTGCTTTTGTATTTTTGAGGTAATGGTAGCTTTTATCTCAATGGTTTGAGAAGTAGTTTATTCTTGAAATTTAATATTTAAGCCAGCAGAGCACAGAGATGATTTT